CGAAGAGAGGCTCTCCGATCGTAAAAAGTACCATTTTCGGGTATTCGGGATTCTTAACACCAACCGTACTGGCATTTTATGTATGCGCGGTGAAATGACAGGTTATGAAACGAAGATGATATTTTTCTGAAAGAAATGCAGGTGATTGGCAATTTAACACTTTGACTACGAAACTGACATCTTATTTTATTTTTTTATATTGATGGTTCTGTGCGAGAGTGCGCCGCAGTCAAAGGGCTAATATAGGAAACAACGCAGAAAATAGCCTCAGGATAATAATAAAAAAAAATTACATATCAAATTTTGAAACCGGAAATTTGACCAGCTGTGGTATGGATAGTGTTAATAACAAATTCTATCCACTGGGACAATACATACGAAACTTTGAATTTAGCATTCTTTGGAAATCTTGTATGGTTTTGCAAATATTCGCGATAATACGAAAGCTCAGAATTTCTTCAGGAGGGTGTTTTCACCCCCAGCACCGTTTCATTGCCGAAATAAAAAGTAGTTTCGTTGTTAGCGTCACTTAAACTACATTTCTACAGTTTCGTCAAATTATCTGGAATTTTCGGGTGGTCGAACTTGTGTTATTACCGAATAATTTCGTAATAGCCGCCGTGTCTCGAGTATTACCGCGAACGAGCGGGTAAGCGGAAGCTACAACCCCGTGAGATTCATAAAAGAATCGTGGTGTGTATCGGTAGAGGAAAGAATTGGAGTGTTTGGCCGAATATGGCAGACAAATTGAAAAAACGTCGAAAAGCGTCACGAGGCAGTTTCCTTTTCACTTGCTCCCTTTATCCGCTAATTCGAGGAGACGGAGAGAAGAACGGGGGCGTCGGGTTAAATATTTCCAGCCCATTTACTCCCCCGACACTCTCGGTTCGCTCTCGCTGCCCGAACAACGTCTGAGCTGCTTTTGTGGAAACGAGCTCTCTGATCAAATTCTGAACGATCGATTCCCGTACGATATTGTAGGAATGTCAGGTTTGGAGACATGTACCTATTCGATAAATTTATAATAATTACAAATATATCGGAGCTCGATAATAGTGGCTACAATGTCTCTGAACCATAACTCATTGTATATATAATACAACATAAATGAAAAGACACTCAACGAACGTGTCACTCGTCGGCGGACCGATACCGATAGCTCTTCTCCGAAAGCGGAGGGGCACTTGAGATCCGTTCCGAGGGCAGCCAAAATCCCGACCGACGACGCGAAGGGCAGTCAACCGCCAAAAGTCGCACGAGCGACACCGAATAGCGTCACGAGACATTTCGTCTCGCTTTCTCAATAAAAGATTTCAAGCGCGACCACGCGTACGTTTATTCCCCCGTCGCCCACAACTCCATCACTGCCACAATATTACAAGCAGTAATTGAAGAAAAAAAAAATATATTTGAAAATATAAGGAAACGCAGATATTAATACGAAAATAATCCGTGTTATCCCCGAAGGTTCGTCGTCCCTTTTGTTCAAGCTGCTCGAGGGGCAGCACGATTTTCCCTCTACGAGGAGCCAAAGTAGCGCGACCACCCCGTGCACAAAAGTAATTTATGCTGATTAAAGCTCCAGCACGGATGCACGGCGGGAGGAAAAGGGCCGCTTCTAAAATCTCGCGGAAAAGGGAGAGCAGGGTTTCATTTTCGAGATACACCGCGCGCCAGTTATGATATACACAAGCTTAACATCGCTACGCTTCCCTCTTCCGTGCTTTTCCCTCTATTTTTCCTCGATCGCCAGCTCGACCGTTTTAATTATGCACCCATGGCTTTCCCTCTTCCCCTATCGCGGAAACGCGTTACTCCACGGAAGATTCGCCGAATACAGACACGTCTAATGACTCCAATCGCTGCCCGTGTTCGCTGATTATTTCCCAAATGAACGATCTTCCTCGAGTAATTTATCCAACATATGTGTGTCGATGATTTAACCCTTGTGTTAATACCTTTTCGCACGTTTTCTCACTTGAAATGTTCGATCTTGCCGGTAGAAGATTTGAATATCCGGCCAGATTTTTCTTATCAGAAAACGACGATAAAGTAGACGACAATTGTGGTTACTACGTAAGGGTTAATTTTTCGACACTATCCCGCGAGAGACTCAGACAGAGCGTGAAATATCTAAGTACCCGACTAGAAATTTCAGTTAGGAAGATAGGCCCGCATGCGGTATGTAACGCGGAATATTCACGACCGCCTTAGTTGGGAAATCCGCGTTAGGGCCGCATTAGGCTTTCTCAATGAGGTCAACCGCATTAGGCCCATATTAGAATAGCTTTATTAGGCTGTCGTTGAGAGATATTAATGAAATCTCATGAGAAATACCTCATCAAGACACTATATGGATTAAATTGTAAAAGCTCTCTTATGGCGACCTAATCTCTACACGCAAGCGTTCCTACACATAAGTTTGAGAGCCCCACTCCACCTAATTTAGGTGTGCGCTCGGCCACCCCCATTTGGGCCACGTATGGCAACTGTTAGGTATGCCCAACCTAAGCGTGCGCTCGGCCACCCCATTTGGGCCACGTATGACAACTGTTGGGAATGCCCAACATAGGCGTGCGCTCGGTCACCCCCATGTGGGCCACGTATAGCAACTTTTAGGAATGCCCAACTTAGGCGTGCGCTCGGCCACCCCCATTTGGGCCACGTATGGCAACTGTTGGGAATGCCCAACTTATGCATGCATCGTTCCTTCCGAATTAGGACCTAATGCGGTAACGATTAGGCTTGCAGCATTTAGGTATGCCTAATCGTTTCCGCGTTAGGCCCACATTCGTCTTTAGGCATGCCTAATTCTAGTCGGGTATGTAACCCTTCGACAGTTTATCCCGTGAGAAATTCAGGCAGAGCGTGAAATATCCAAGTATTTAACTCAAGAGAGACTCTCAGAAGGAAAGATAGAAAGGGACGAGATATTATTGACACAACTACGACGCAGGGTTGTGTATTCCTTCTTTTCAGGTATTGTTTAAAATAAAAAGCTACTATAGTCACAGAAACGATGGATATTAACCAGCCGCGTCATTACCAAGTGGCAGTACCATACAAAGTCAAATCACGCGTTTTTTATTTGAAGAAATTAACACCGGAATTACACCGTTTTCCCCTATGCCGTGTTTTAAAAATGATCACTCACAGCGTAACTATTAAAACGATACGCGTAAAGTCTACATTTTTCACCGTAATTCGTAATTTAATTAGTCTGTCGAAGTGTTGCCTCAAGAGGAAGTGTTAACTTAGGAAGAAAGTTAGAAAGGGACGAGAATGATCTTTTAAAAATGATCACTCGCGGCATAACTATTAAAAAGATACGCGTAAAATCTAAATTCTTTTTCACCTTAATTCCAAATAAAACGCGAAGCTGACTCGCAAATTTCGGAAGCTTTCTCAAATGGAACACGGCGGACATGATCGATACAGCCCGTGTATGGCTGACCCAGAAGATCAACGAACCCGATATCCGGACGTGCGATTTGTTCAGCAATTAATTAATATATGTGCGTTCGTGCGTATATATTGTTGGAGGTAGAAGGGAATATTTTCGAGCGGACCAAAAAGCTCACAAATACGCCCGTGCTAGGCGTTGTAACATTTTGTACGGGCGTATCGCGGTATATTCGCCCTTTCCTTCGAATCGAAAATTGGGGGTAAAAGAAGCGATCGCAAGCATTATTAAGAATGTTGGATAAAAGCTCTCTACTGGATCAACTATAGGATGCAAATATTTACTGGATTTCGTAGGTGGACGCTCGAGACAAATGTAGAATAATCAGAGCGTCTTTAATTAATATTAGCTCTACCGGAAAGTTCTGTCCGATCGTGTCATCTCGAGTCATCATCTCCAAAAATGAGAGTCGTTCTACAGAAATGAAATTCAGAAATTACCGTCACGCTGGGAAGAGGTCATTGGTAACGACGGAAGTTATATTAATTACATGAAAATGCATTATTTTCTTTTAATTCAAAAACGGACAGAACTTTCCGGTAGACCTAACACATTTATCTATGTACCTTGGTATACTGTTACATGAATCGTCGGTCCATAATTTGGAAGCTACGGTAGACCGGTGAAATGAGACAGGGTTTTGTTAAAATACAAGAGAAGAGAGTCGGATAGGTTTGGTATGCTGTGTGTTTCAACATGCTCGATTTTTGCCGATATTTTTTTCCACAATTCTGTTCCACGTTTATTCCGGCGGTGTTTCGTTCATCGAAATTGCCGGCGATACTTGGCGCGGGCGTGTGTAATGTTATCAAGCGTACGGTAAAACTGTGCCGTGTGTAATTAATGCGCACAGCGTGTACACCGATTACCAGTTACGTTTGTTATCCCCCGTTCATTATTGCCCCTCTGAAATCAGAGTTCGATTGTTCCGCGCTATTTTATCCTCTTGCTCTTTATTGACTTATCGAATCACCGAATTGTCGGATACGAATATTGCGCGCGATATTTGTTGTGAAAAATATCGCTGCGGGCAACCGGGGGAAAAATCAGGAATCGGGAAGTTTGATTGTTAGTAAGATAATTTTGATTGTTGGAATTCGCAGATGAGATGCGTATAGACGCTTTGATCTGGGGTTTATTGCACCCCTTGCTGGCTTGAGGACTCGAAGCAAGGAAAACACGCATGTGTCTTTTCAGTAGTTAACTCTTTGCACTCTAGTGGCGACTGAGAAGCGAAATTGGTGTCTACCATTTGGTAAACAATTGATTTCTATGGGCTTCTAATAAACGTCTATATATCAATTTTTAAAAATAAAATAAAATACGCTAAATACAGAAATGAATCTGATTTGCAATTTGCCTATAGCAAAAAGATCTTCCAGTGCAAAGGGTTAACCTCACGATCAAATTTATCACTCAGCAATAAACAACCTATTAAAACCACGGGTTGCTTTTTCCAAATACGTGAACTCCAACGTTCTAAACATCAGCAAAAAGAGAAAAAAAGAGAAGAATAATCGTAGAAAACTCGACTCACCTCTGTCTTCGTTGGAGGAACCTTTCGACCCTCCCTTCTGCATGTCCGCGAGAGCGGGGAACGCGAGTACCAATAGGAACAAAATCGTCCAGGCGAGTGTCTGCATCTGCCTGGTCTCCAGCCTCCACCGCACCACGCTCGAAGCGTAGCTGCTCAAAGAGGAGGCGGCTCGTTCAAACCTGTCGCTCTCCTTCATCCTGGAGAGTGTCATGCCGTGGTCACCGCGCCGCACCACCTCCTGTACAACACCGTGTCCTCTTCCAGTTTGCACGAACCTTTCCACCGTGCTTCTCTCCTTCGTCGACGCCCGATAGTCCCAGCTTCCTCCTCGAAGACGCTCGCACAGGTCGCAGAGGGTGGTGCTGCTGCTTTGGTTCGAGCGTAACGACGAGGAAAGAGAACGAAACGGTCCCTCGTACTCTGCCGCGCTGCTCCTCGTTGACGGACAATGGCAGTGACAGGTGACTGGACCTACGTCGGCGCTAATGTCAGTCGGACAGCGGTTCGTGTCGGCTTCGAAGATCCTGTTGCTGCTGCTGCTCGATGAACACAAGTTTACAGGGTGGCTAGTGGTCGACGGACGAGAAGTCGCGTTGTTACCAGCTAGCCTGCGTGTACACCACGTTGATGACTCCATTATCGAGGTCTTTCGTGGGTGGAAACTCGACGAGATTTGTCGGAGAACCAATCACCTTTACGCTCTCTTCGGTACTCGAGGTTCTTCGTGACAATGGCGCTTCGAACTGCAAAAAATCGTTCGTGTTCTTATTTTCTGTTCGAGGAGATAGTTAGAGTAGAGAAGGTATACCGTGTCGTTAATCTTCCTCGATTTCGGCCTCCCGACGAGCTGTTACCCTCGTCGGAGTACGTTCCCGCGAATTCGAGGAAGATCGACGAGACTCGGTTGGAGATTTCGTTGATCGTTACCAGAAGAGACATCTCTCTTCTTCGATTTTCATGGAGTTTCAGTCTGTTCCGAGGACGAGCCAAATATCAGCCTCTTATAATGGTGAACTGTTGTCGATGGAAGTGACGCCTCTGCAAGCTGATCGACGCCATTGATTCTGAAGTTGAATACGAGCTGCGATCTAGCCGGTGATACCTGTCGCAGAGAACTCCGCCGTATTCTCTCTACTCTACTGTACAAAGGTGTACCTTTGTTAGATTTTAGTATGTTTCTCCTTTTCTTTAGGTTCTTCTCGATTGATAACCTAGAATCAGAAAGTTATACACACGTGAACGAACGTTTGTACGATTGTACGGATCGAGGTAAATACATTTGCCGGATCGTTGACATTTTTCTGACTTTTTGCTACGTAATACGGGAGAGATTGAATAAGCAGAGCACGGTGGACGGTGGATATTTAACCGGGAATCCAATGTACTTGGCGGACAAAGTAAATACAAGGAAATACATATTCGTATGAATTTCATGGAGCGAAACGTCAATGTTTAACCCGAGGGCTACGAGCGATTTAATCGAGCCCAGCTACCACGCATACTTTCCCCGTGGTTCGATAAAGCACTATCCGTGTTTCGAGCTCTCTCCCATCCGCGTTACATCGAGCATTTCATCAGTATATAATTACCATCCTTGATAACGCGATCGATCGCCTCGCGAGCGAAAAAATGGAAAAAGGGAGAAAACACACTGCC